CAATATTCTTAGAGAACTTTGGGTTGCTCGATGTAAGGTGGTGTACGACAGCGGTAAGATGACAAGTGTCGATATTATCCGTAGAGTTTTTTATCACGTCCAAAGCATGGGCGTAGTACATGTGCCACGGCAGCCTTCCACGAAAAATTAACGGCTGCAAGTGGAGGCTGGGGGTTTTCGATTCTCTACAATACCAGTGAAACGAGGGGACTGATATAAATAGGAATGTCCGAGCATTGGAGAATACAAACTAAATACAGATGGTCCGGCTACGACAGAGCACTGTACTGGTGGAGGTATTATTCGAGACTCGGGAGGTTATATTGTTGTTGGTTTCTCTACCTTCTTTGGCATGGGTTCAAATAACTATGCGGAGTTTCTCGCCGTAGTTCATGGGATGCAATTATGTAAATTGTTGAGTGTTAATTCGGTTACGGTTGATGTTGAGTGTAGATTTTACACCCAATACGTTTACTTTACGTGGATCTTTTGTTTAGATTTAATTACATTTGTGCTTTAATTGATTGATTTTGTGTTTTATAGGTGAAAAACGAGAATTAAGTGTCCATGAAGGAAAAGAGATCAACAAGAAAAGAAAAAGTTGCAAATAAGAAATAAATCAAATTGGAAGAAGGAATATTGCAACAGCTTTGGCAGTATCCACCATTTCAAGCATATCTCTCTCATACAAACTCCAAATCACCTGATTTACGCGGCATTGGAAAGCTCATTAAAAAGCTACAATGTTTATTTCACCCAACATTCCGAAATTCGGACTCCAACATGGTCAAAAATCGGAATCAAAACCGACTGAAGTGCAGAAAAGCTTCGGACGGTCGTCCCAATTTTGTACTACAATCTGGGATGGCCGTCCCATCATACAAAGTTGAGCAGTAGGCTACGAAAAAAGAGACGGTCGTCCCAAAATGGCCTAAAATCTCAGACGGCCGTCCGAGACCCCGATTCTACACAGTTTGGAAGTTTTAATTGCACAAGGATGCTCTTTCCTTTTGATCAAGTCTTAACCACTATATAAACACAATTCAATGGGATCAAAGGAAGAAAAATTTTACACCATAAAACGCAAAGAACGAAGATCGAAGACTCAAACATACTTTTTCTTATTTATTTTATTAATTCTATTTTGTTTATGATAAGAATTACAAGTAGCTAAAAAAGTCTTTAGTTTTTAGTATTTTATTCGAACCCTATGTGGGATTTGTGAACCCAATTTTATGATTTTATACAAGTATTAATTTGGATTATTTCTTCTACTTGATTTATTAAGTGCATGAACTTGATACTTTTACGTAGGGCTGGAAAAAAAATACCGATTACCATATACCATGGTATACCAACCAAGGATTACCGAAAAATTACCGAAACAACGGTTACCATTGTCTACGGTACGGTATTAGTACCGTACCATTACAATATGGTACGGTATTGGTATTGTGTTTCTAATACCACGGTAATGCCGTACCGTACCGCAATTTATATTTTAATCCGATTAATATATTTTTTTTCGTATTATTTTTTGTAATTCTATTTTGTTTACTTTGAAGCTTATAAATGTCATCAATTATTTTTTCCTTAAGTTAGTGGTAGTGTAGTGTATTTGTTTTTTTTTTCTTTTTCTACAAAGTTGAATTTTGTAATTCAACATATATGTTCTACTAAATTGTCTTTTATGTTTCTTATAGCCAACTAATTTGTGTTATATATGATGTATGAATATTTTATTCTTTTACCTACATGTATGTATAGCATTAGTAAAGTATTTATTGTATGTAATAATTATTAAGTACAATCAAGTTCCTAACAAATACCTAGTTGTTCCATTAAACAACATTTACATTATCATGGTATATGTTCTTGTTTCAATGAAGAAAATTATGTTAATTATTCTGATTATACACCGGACCTTCTTAGAAAATAAGATATAACTCATACAAGAGTAACTAGAAATATATATATATATATATATATATATATATATATATATTTATAGATTTAAGTCATTCGTTCTTTAATCTTTGATGCATCGCCAAGTACGGTAGAATACCACGTACCGATTGTACCGTACCGAAAATAACGGTATACCGAACATTGT